TTATACTTATATAAAATAAATGAAAAAAGAGTTGTTAGCACGTTATTTTTTTAGTTTCCCTCCTAAATCCTAAGAGTGAAATTCGCTTCTTCAAAGATGCGGTGAACTTACGAAGAGGTGAAAGGTGCGGTGAGCGTGGGTGCTTGTCGATGGCTGGCACCTCCTTCTGGCGCTCCTCCTCCTCACCGAAGCGCTCTTTGTCGTTCACATGCTTGAGCATTTCTTCCGATACTCGTAAAATTTCCTCTAAATATTTCACCTTTTTTATTTTAATTTTTTGGTTGTAACGGTGACCTTTATTGTTAATATTTTGTGATGAAAAAGTTAATTGAATGATTATAGGTATTAAGGAAAGTGTTCAAACCGAAGGGGCACCAGCGGCTTTGGGACCGTATTCTCAAGCAATCAAATCCAACAACCTTCTTTTTGTGTCTGGTTTTCTTGGCCTTGTTCCCGAGGTTTGTTGTCATCAACTCCTTTTGCAATTTAAGTATGCATTTGTGATGTGATTGTTGATGATGTTTGTGTGGGTTCTGCTCTTTAATGTAGACGGGGAAGTTCGAATCTGATAATGTTGAAGATCAAACTGAACAGGTACATTCATAACAAAAAAAAAAAAGTCAATTTAGTCACCGAAATTAATGATTTTTTTTCGTCGCTAATAACGACATAATTAGCGACCGAATATGATTGGGTTGTAAATTTTATTTAGCGACTAATTTAGCGACCGAATTTTTTAGTGGCAAATAATCGGTTGCTAAATCAGTCGCTAAAATACTAATTGTTGATTAAAATAGCGACGGAACGGGTTTCGGTCGCTAAATAAATAAAAAAATTATTATTTATAATAATTTTAGCGACCAAATTAAAATGGGTCGCTAAAAAAATAAAAAAAAATATTATTTGTGTAACAACCCATTTTTCATGGGGGCCCAATTTGTGGCCCAGAACGGGCCGTTTCAATTTTGAAACGGGCCGTTCTGGAATAGTGAGTATGACCAAAATTGTAGAAGCAGAACAAGCCGTTCTGATGGGAGAACGGGCCGTTCTGGTTTGGAGAATGGGTCGTTCTGGAAGCAGAACGGGCCGTTCTGCTGGGTTCGAGAATGGGCCGTTCTGGTTTGGGAACGGGCCGTTCCAG